GCGGACAGTCACGGTGCCGTCAGTCATCTCCGCGGCCGACGGGGGCGATTCAGATCACGGTGACATGCGGGTTGGATGCAGCCACACAGGCGGCATTGGCGGGTCACGCACCGAACAGAGCGCCAAATAAGGGGATCTGTGCTCAGGACTTTCGATTCTCTAAGGCTGGGTAGACGAATCAGCTGCTCCAAAATGTTGGACCTCCAATAAACCCCTCCCGGTGAACGCCTCTTCTTCTTTTTTATGGAGTCTGCTATTCGTGGGGGGTTTTCCGTGGGGGAACTACACTAAGCAGTGTCCTTGTACTGATGACTAGCACTGTCTACCAACGGTGTGTCTCTCCATCATCAAAGCGCTAAAGCAGAGTACATCACGTAGACTTTGTTATAAACGGTATTTTGCCAGCGACTTCAGTCACTGCACCCGAACTTGCCTCCAACCGTCCTGCCTCATCAATGGGTCCCCCCCGGCCTTCACCGTGTGTTTTCTGGTATATGGACTCCAATTTCACCCTACCTTGTTTAATTTCCGAGGAAATTAACGCGCGAACTGGGAGTAGATCCTTCGCCAGAGACCTTCTCAGGCACGGTCCGAAAATATGAAAAGGTCTGTGCGGAAGGATTTACTCCCAGTTCGTGCATTAATTTGCTCGGTAATTAAAAAAGGCACTGTGAAACTGGAGTTCATATACCAGAAAACACGCGGGAAAAGCTGGGGGACCCATTGATGAGCCAAACCCCTGGCAGCTGCGGCAGGCAGCGGCGCAAGATCGACGAAATACGCTTGTCTGGACCTTAAGCTAGTAATTGTGTTGTCAGTATGGTGACTAATTACATACTTCTATGCTATTGGCTGCCTGTTGGCGGTTTGTGATTATTATGCGGTTATTTTGCAGAAGATTATGGATTTCACCCCAAGTATTCCTATCAACTTTCGAGCCAGGCCTGAAAAGGTCCGTTCCGAAGGATTTACTCAAAGTTCGCACGTTAATTTCCTCGGAAATTAAACAAGGCAACTATAAACTAAAGTAGGAATTACTTATATGGCCCCCGAAGCCGGACATGGGAATTGGAACGTCTGCGATTTGAGTGATTTTAAGCCATCTTCAACTAAAGGTACGGTTAAGTCTGAGGTAAGGATTAGGGTTAGGGTAAGGAGTAGGTTTAAGGTTAGATCTAAGGTTAACGGTAACGTAAGTCAGGATCAAGTTTAGGGTCAGCGTATGGGCTAGTGTTAACTGCAGAGTCAAGGCCCAGGGTATGGTTAGGGTCAAGATTAGGGATACGGTTTAGTCTTATCTTAGGGTTACTGTTGCGGTTAGAACACGGGAGCATTTTGCCCCTTCCGGAATTACGCACAGATGCACCTTTATTACTTGGGCGGGGCGTCCCTATTTCCATGTTCTATTTAGGGGACCAGAAAATTCAGTCCTACTTAACCTAATCCATGCTCAGTTTGCTGCGCGACACGGTGGACATCGTCGGAAACGGCGGTCGAATTGAAATCACCATCGACTCGGAATGCGACAAAGCGTATTCCCTAGGATTATAATAATTATTTGTCTCTTTACATTCATTCTACGCATTCAAAAGTTAACGCCCCACGGTCCATTGTTGCTGCTGTTGGGCCCCAGACTCTATTTCTACTTATTACGCCTGTGTTTGTCTTCTACACGATGTCTAACAACTCAGCTCGGTTTCTACATCGTCCGATTTTGTTAGATCTGCCTTAACATCGTTAATACCTCTATTGAGAATATACTAAATTAGATTATCTGGAAAATCTCAGTGTGTAGGGCAGATGAGGCTTTGGTGAACGTTAATCACACAAGGCAATTCGACCGCCGTTTCTAACGATGTTCTTCGTGTGCTCAACAACAGGGTTGGAATAAGGACGGTAACTTGCCCTTGAGTTAGTTAAAAGTGATAACAGACTTGTGCAGCATCTACCGCACTCTGTCCTGCTCCACCTTCTGGATCTGGTGTCAAGACAGAGTCAAGAAGACGGGAGAGGGTGCAGGTGACTGGCACGGCGGGAACCGGCACCTGGGCGTGCAGTCAAACCCCTGGTCCAAAAGGTACACTTCCAGGATTTTATGTAACAAGAGCAAAAGGGATTATACTTTTTCAGTAACAATAAGAAAAGAGATGCAGATTCTCCTTTTTTGCTGAAATGTTCATTCCTTCATTTTCTGCTATCATGTCGATCCAAGCATTATCTAGGCTTCCAATCTTGAGGTAAACTTAGTGCGGACGTTAATCATGCACAAAACATCGAAGACGGGTGTAGCCCAGGAAAACAAAGATTGCTTTTACCACCTTAGATGTGTTTCTGTCAAGTACCATTTGCAATGTCTGTAATTTGCTATGTCCAAAACCCCAACTTTCTCGGGAATCTGGTCACTTTGACAGCCACTCGTAGAGGTTGCTTTTTAAAAGGGCGCGGTTTGGTTCTGCAGCCCCACTTCATTGATATCATCTGGTAAGCTCCCTAAAACATTTTTAGTTAGCATACCTATTTTAGCCACCCGCTGGATTAGAAAGGGAAGGAGGAGAAAACGAGGATGGCGTATGAATACTCCTCCCCCGTGGCGCAGTCACTCATTGGATTAAAATGGTGAGGAAGGTGCAAACATGTAATATTTGTAAAGTCATCATACTCGCGTCTAAAATTATTTTAGGAAGCCGAACATATGGTATCAATGAAGTGGGGCTGCAGAACCAAACCTCGTCTTTGAAAGTTTTAATTTTCCATCCGATTCAAGAGAGGAAACAAACTAACGTCAAGTATACTACCGGGACACCCACTGCTGACTTGTCGGCCCTGAAGAATATGGAAAAATCGATATTTCAAACTGACCTCTGTCAACTCCCCAACAGAAGCCGAACCATGCCAGAGTCGCCGTTCATGAAAAAGGACATTATAATCAGGACTCGCGAAAACCGGATCTGTTTCAAACTACCCTCAGTCTTTCCAAAGAGTGCACAAGCGCATCTGCACAGCTTTCACGTCTTGAGACCTTCGTCTTTCGTAAACAGGATCTGGAAAACGGTCGACTTGCGCGACGTGCATCGGAAGTTTAACGGCTTCAAACTACCTTCTCGTCTCCGACTCACTGTGATGAACTTGGTTACGAAGGCTAGCACCGACAGTCGAATCCATTTCAACACTGCTGAGCTGAGCATCCTCTTCCATATATTCTTTGTACTTGTCGGGTTGGAGGATCGAGAAATGCGGATGAATGAGTTGGTAGACTTCCTCTGGACACAGATTGGCATAACTCACTATTCAACCCTGAAGAACCTTGCGAGGGCTGCCCCACTGCTTCGCAATGGATACGCAGCACGGGGCACCAAGAGTTTGACAGCCCTCGACTTTATTCACTTTCTCTCTACCCTCCTCCGTGGTCGTACCCTGGATCGTGCCAAGTTGGCCTTCTACGCAATGGACATCGACAGTGATGGACTTTTGCGTCAGAAGGTTGAATTCACCAGCCTTATCAGTGGGAGTTTCGATATCCGCATCGCCGCTCTCAACCCCGACCTTGATCCACAGGAACCGGTACGCGATACCGTGCGATTTCTCACCAACAAGGCCCGAATTACAGGGAATGGAGGCCTGGACATGGACGACTTTTTGGAGCTGGCAATCAGGGAGCCCTGGGTGATTAACTCCCTCTTCCAGTGTGTTCCTGGGGGACTAGAAAACGTTGCTTTCCAAAGCATTTTCACAAATACTGTTGAAGTGCCTGTGATGGAGACTCAACGAAGTTTCATACGTCGACGTCGTACTACATCCGTATGGGATGCTACAAGAAAATACCTACAGTAACACTGTGGTTCTCTCTCTCTCTCTCGCTTCGCGAGGAAATGGACAGCATTTTCAACAATCGTGTTTTTGCTGAGATTTTATAATCGGTGAAAGCCAAAGTGTGTCAACTGGACCTACTTGTTAGTAGAATAACAAACTTGATCCAGTGCTGTGTCCTCTTCTTGACTGATTAACGATTTTCTGTCCAAATGGGTCCTCTAGGCGATAGGTTGGTATCAGAATTAGGGCTTCTTTATGGCTCATGATTTACGAGTTTAACTGCAAACTATCTGGTCATCCGACCGAGCATCCCGGAGTTTGATGCCTCATAGAGAATCACTTGATTTTTTGGTAACAATTGGGAGATGGCACCCAAAAATTTCCGTTACCGATGAGAATATGCCAGAGGACTGCATGAGTGTTCGTCCACAGGCTGATGAAAGGAATAAAATAAGGGTATTTTACTGAGGGCCGGAAAACTTTGAAAGCATACAATCCTAAACAGACGGTGTCATCAGCTAAGCAATTTCACAAAATGGCAACTCTCGTCGGGGTCAGGTGCGGCGATGTTTTCAATCACGTCCTCTGTGTTTATTGAACGTGCAGTTTTGAAAGCGAGGATATGAAGGCAAAGGGTCATGAACAGCACAACGTAGAACGTTTCCTTTAGCCAACTGCATTCCGCTTTCGATCCCCTATTGAAAAAAAGCAATTAAGCAGGGAATACGAGCTGGATCGACTTCATATTATCTGCCTCTTCAAGTAAATCCGACACCGCGCACATTTTTGTTGCCATATGGTGATGAGTTTCAACTTTATCGTTCAGAAAGCCATTTCTGAAAAAACTTAGTATTATTTATATTTATACACGCAATCCCGTAAGACAGGCTGCTTTGGTTGGACGGATTTTTTTGGGTGCCATCTCCCAATTGTTACCGATTTTTTTCTCCGAAAACTGCTTCTGCTACCAGCTGGGCGTCGTAACGGTCATGTGTCTGTAGTTATTGTTCCGCATCTTCAGCGGAGTTAGGCTGCGACTATTGAAGAGCCTTAGAGGTGGACGGATCCGGAGGGGACAGACCGGACCAGCGCTAGACTGGAGTTGTCTCAACTACATCTTCACCCTCTGCCAAATGTTTACACTTTGCCAACTGAGGGATGCTATTTGTCCAGACCAGGAAATTACCTGAACTCTGTCCACCTCAGGTGCTCTTTAATGATTAACTTTGCGAGGTAGGTGTCTGAAAACTGACTGTTTCTCAGGCCTTTTCGCTGCATAGTTACCGTAGACGACAAGGCGTCCGCATCTCAGGGCAGATCTAAGACTGTCATCTGGACCATTCACATCATCTGAGAGGAGCACAAACGAACCTAAAAATATGTTTTCGGAAAGTCAGCGTCAGTCCAAAGCAATCACATGGATAATGAATTCGTGAGCTATGGACAGGATTCATATATGTCTCGGGGGCGGGATTAGTCAAATTCGTTGTTTCCACGCCGCCTCCGCGACGGAGTCAGTGTGTTGAGGACTTGGAGCTGGGGTGGGGGGAAGGGGAGGGGTTCGTGTAAGCGCTGTCTTTGTGTCAAACGACAGTTCGGGCGCCGTTGCCAACGATGTCCACCGTGTGCTCACAACAAGGTGAAGCAGGCACGGTGACTTGCACGTGATTTAGTTTATAGTGAATGTAGGCTTACACAACATATACCGTACTCTCTCTCTTCCCCACTCCTCACCTGGACCCGGTGTCAAGACGGAGTCAAGTTGACCGGAGACAGGAGAGAGCGCGGGTGGATGGCCCGGTCGAGACCGTACCTTGGCGCTCCACTCCACACAGCAAATGATCAGGTTTTAACCAACAACAACAATGGCAGAGGCAGAGGTCCCAGTGCGCATGACCTCTGCCGACAGCCCGGTCTGTCACAGAACCCTGAAATGTTGGCATTTGTTATGATGCGAAAATCTAATAACACATGCCAGAATTTGATGTGGCCTCCGTGTTGGTCCGGCGCATTTACCACGTGGCTCTTTTGAGGGTCACTTAGCTCAAACACGTACATCTAATCGATGCAAGCCACCAAGTCGACGCCAACGAAGCCTTTTAAGTTATCCACGGGGAGCCAGCACACTATTCTAAAGGCCTATGCAAACTGGCGCGGGCATCATACGAGGCAGTGGTTATTCGGTTAGCGAATTCAGAGCTCTTTTGTCGGAAGGTGCTGATAGAGGCAGCCCGTCTTCCCTGGCCGAATCCAGGTGGTGATTACACGCCGCCCCAACACCCTGAGAACATTCACACGCACTCCGTGTGTTCGACACACAGACAGCGTTCCCAGTCAAACGCGAACCCCTCCCTTTCCCCTCTATCCAAGCTCCACCGTCCTTAACACACTGACTCCGTCATGCATGCGGCAAGGGAACAACGAATCTGACTAACCCTGCCCCGAAACGCATGTAAATCCTGTCCACAATTCATAAGTTCATCATCCATGTAATTGTACCTGCCTGATGATGAATTACTAAAACCGTATGTTTACAACATTATTTTTGAAACGCAACATGGGAATTTTCGCAGAACACTCCAAAATGACCTGATATAAGTAACGAAATTCACTCGCTCTCCTTAGTGTCTTCTCGAACAACCCTTGGACTGCAGGTTCCCGCTTTTTTTGGTGGAGCTCTGAAAGTAAAGATCTCTGTATGGTTCAAAAGTCTTGAAAATGACAGGCGTACATAACTAGGGATGAACTTATCTGGATCGTCATCTTGCAAAAAAGACATATCAAACCAACTGCAGGATCTGATGGTCAGTGGCAGTTGTCCACATCCACTGGATGACAGTTATGACCCCAGTTATTAGACACTCCCGCGCTTATTATTTATAACTGGGAGCGTTCAATAGTTCTGTCAGGAACCGGCCCCTTCACGGACGGTTATATCACGAAAGAGGACACAACGTATCACTGGGGTTTGCCTTAAAAGTCTGTACCCCTAACAGAGAGTTGATCCTTGATTGACCTTGAGCATGAACTTAGCTCTGAGGACATGTTTCGGCTAGATCGCAGTTGGTAGCCAGGAATGGGGACGCGTACGGCGCTCTGAACCCTAATCCTAACCTTAACCCTAGCCCTAACCTCAACCTTATACGTTAACCGTTAACCTTAACGGCAACCCTAATCGAAATCGTAAACGCAACCGTAGCCCTTAGACACAGCCGTAACTGGAAAACCTAACCGGAATACTGAAGCCTAATCGTACGCTCAAACCTTAATCGTAACCCGAAAATCTAAGCCTAAAGGCATAACCCTAACCCGAAAATCGGAAGACATTAACCGGTACCCTAATCCTAACCTCAATCGTAAAACGGAAGCCAGATGGGTCAGATGTGATCATGGAATTCCATAAAATAGCCCCAGTAAACAAATCCCCACGCCACCTGTAATACGGGCCCGGCTACCAACTGCGATCTAGCCCATGTTTCAGTGGCACCTTTCATACAATCTTCGTGGTCACTCGATCAAGCTACGGACAACAATGTCCAGGCTGAATCTTCGTTCTGAATTTTTCACGCAAATGGTAGTGGAAAAATGGAACGATCTCTCTAAGTCAACCCTCGACAGTCTGAATATGAGCTTTCTACCCCGCGACCCCGCAACTTTTGCCTCTGAGACAATGTTACTCAGACGAATCATGCACTGTTTAAATAACGATATTTTCATTGTTCGTGTACAGTTAGTTCTAGCGAGCTGACATGTAACCAATAGGGTTTTCAAAGGCTCTGCCTTTTATCCTTACCAAATAAACTAAACTGACCCCACATATGCCGTGTCTACCTCACTAGTCCTCCTGGCCATTCTTCTCGGAGATTTGTTTTCGATATCTGGGCCAGTTGCCTCTACGCCACTGAAAGGACTAGGCCGAGGCTGATACACTTAGCAACCGGTCGAAGTTGTCAATCCTCCTGATGTAAGCATCGACGATGACTGACAGGTGGCGAGACACTGACGTAGTTCGACTGGATGGACTGCCTATCGGATGGGACTCGTCTGTAAACCATATACGCCGTGTGGGAGCACACATTGAGGTTTATTTGTACAGGAGACCCATGTTGTAGTTGTACGATCACTCCAGATCCTTCGGTGCAGTTGGCTTGTGGCAGTTCGCGTCTCCTTGCCCTCCGCCTTTGTCACGCTGCTTTCCTGTCCGCCTCACACGCCTTGTCGATACGCTGTTGGGACGCGCGAGGCTTGTCACTAGCCTCGCAAATGCTCCAGGCCAACCAACGCTGTTCCCCTTCTGATTGGCTGGCGGGCGCGGAGACAACGAAGGGTTCACACACGCGCTGGGTCACAGCACCTAGAAGGCGGACACGGACTACACAACTGGCTTGGAGAGCGCGCTCGTGGCGACCGCTTACGGAGCTTCGTATACACACTTCCACAGCACTAAAGGTTGTCCAACTAAATCCGTCTTCCTTGACTTTTGATTTGGGAATCCCTGTCCTGTTGACCACAAAACTTTCGACATCCTCAGCCGCAGATGCACTGTCGGCAATTAACACATACGAAGATGTAGCAGAATAAGCGACGCTAAATGGGGCAGGTGCTGCAGGCATGACCACGGTGCTAACAAGTCGCCATAGTCGGTCCCCAGCAAACGCATTGACGAACTTCATAGATACTTCTGATTCGCCACGTTAGGGCACGCGAATAATTCTGAACCCGATCTGCCGATGCACTTGTATTCAGGGTTTCCAAGATACAAGGCGTATATTTTCCGCATACGGAAAACCATGCACTTCTCTATGGTATGAAGAGGAGATCATATGGGGCTCATAAAATTTAGCAGTGGATTTGGACCATATTTTAAACTTACAAACAACATTAGTCGACGCAGATACACGATGCTTTATGAACGGGCATTTTACGGTATTAAAAAATCTCATAATTATAAACTTTTTTAAAAACCGAATTATACCCTTCTTTTGAGTATAAAATTGGAAGAAGACGTAATTTCTTGCCGAATGAGCAAAGCAAGGAATATTTTTATGCATGTTTTCCATGAAATATAATTGGATTTTCAAGGACATCGGAAGTCAATTAAAAAAATTCATGCTACTTAAGTGATCACTTTTACAGAGTGTAGTTTATACGTAAGGTCAGGAAGGTCTTCGTTCAAAAGCCGATATCTTAAGGTAACTGAGTTATTATAGAGTTATGCTGCATACCAATCTTCCGTCTATTATAGGCTAGTTTCAGCGTTTCAGCATTGTCTCCCGACTATCCACTCCGTGATGGCCGCTCTGGAGGCCCGTCAGCTTCTATTATTCACTTGTAAATAGGGCTTTTTTTCTGGTTAGCATCATACATACCAACTATGCAGAATTCCCTCTTTCTACGATCGACATTGTACTCCCGCTGGCTAACTAGTGTTCCGTCAATTTTCAATTCGATTTCTGGTCCACTTAACGGTCGTGTCTACCTGATTAAGGTATTCGAACAGACGTTGCGGCACATCTCGTACCGCTCGACTGCCGTCGCGTGGCCCTCTCCGACGTCCTTCTGGAATCTCTTTATTTTTTTTCACTTCAAGGAATGCCATACATTTTCTTATTATCCTTCTTATCATTATGTGACTATTTTCACAGACAGACGCCTTTCTAGTTGCCTTGTCGAAAGTGGTGTCGTCGACAAGACAAATATTCCCAACCATAAGTCAGGGAAGACGGAGAAAGTTGGACAACCTTTACTGTTTTGGAAGTGCTTACACAAAGGCTCTGTAGGCAGTCGCCGCGAGCGCGCTCTCCAAGCAAGTTGTGTTGTCTGTGTCCGCCTTCGAGGTGCTGAGACCCAGTGAAGCGGCCGAGAACGTTAAGGGGTGGCACACACCAGAGTAAGGAAACGCCGAGAAGAGATCCTGGCAGGGGTAGACCTGAACAGAACTGTTAACATTCTCGAAACTCGTTCACACACAGCAGAAGAAGAGAGTACGTCGAGTATGGGTATAGTGTAAGGAAACAAAATGATATGGAGCATGTATATAACAAATGTTAATGTACATGTGCGACGAGGAACAGCGAATAAGTGACCTGTCTGGATGGATAGACGACCCTGAGATACTAGCTAAACAGCCGGTGGGGATGCAGTGCTGTGGGCAACTGCAGGGAAGGACCGAGGGGGAGCCGACGTTGAGTGAGAGAGCGAGAGAGAATCGAGAGCGACGGTTCGTTGCGGTAGGGGGGGAGGGGTCGGCGGTAGCGAGAGGAAGGGACACTGGCCGTCTTCGCCAGCACACAGTTACGCCATCTCCATCCCAGGTCTGCGCGCCAACAGTGTCACGACATTCAAAGAAGTCTGTTCATGCCAAGGGGCGTTACACCAGCGCGTGTGTGTGCTTTTCGTTGTCCCCGCACCCGCCAGCCAATCAGAGGGGGGACAGCGTTGATTGGCCTGGAGCATTTTCAAGGCTAGTGACAAGCCTCGCGCGTCCCAGCAGCGTATCGACAAGGCGTGTGAGGCGGACAGGAAGGCAGCGTGGGAAAGGCGGAGGGCAAGGAGACGTGAACTGCCCCAGCCTTCCTCCTTCCACGAAATTTTCGGAGTAGATAAACTCTATCACTTTGTTCGCCTCTGTCGGTAAATCTACCTGCGCTCACCTGCGCCTCCTGCTGATCTGCTCAGACTGCGTGGTGCTGTGATACAAAACATAAACATAATAATTAGGGGGTCTGACGCTACATTCAGCAACGGGCGATTTCGCACATTCCTCATTTACCTACTACTACTACTACTACTACTACTACTACTACTACTACTACTACTACTACTACTACTACTACTACTACTACTACTACTACTACTACGACTACTACTACTACTACTACTACTACTGTTGCTACTACTACTACTACTACTACTACTACTACTACCGCTACTACTACTACCGCTACTACTACTACTACTACTACTACTACTACTAAAACAACTACTGCAACTACAACTAAAACAACTACTACTACTTTTTATAGAAACTACGCACTGGCTATTCGGTTAACAGTGATTCCATGGGTATAAATTAACTGCGTACTTTATTTGCACTTTATCGTGTTCTGTACTTTATTTTCCTTTTAATTTCACTTATTCACACGCATTGCGCTAGCTCGGTCGTATTGAGTTATTCATCGCTCGGTTTCACCCCCTCTCCCGTATTCTGATTGACTAAGTTTGTCCTTGGTCCCGACCTCGTTTGGCTTTCCGCAATGGTGGTTTATCCGATTACCCCGTTTTCATTGGTAAATTTTTTTCATTTTTCATTTTTTGCTCACAGTTCCGCTGCCGTTTAGGGATTTGCTTTAGCGATGAGGAGGGAAATATAACTATTTCTAAGGGACTTCGATCGCCATCTTATTGTACCTTCTGGTTATGCCCCATCCACAAAACCCACATCCCCATCGGATGCACCACTAGACTTCCGTCCCTGGGTGGGGTTACATACCATACCCTTGGCGAGAGCCAGTTGGAATAAACTGACACTCGTGCGAGGGAACAAGCCCGACGTGAGAGCGACATTACAAATGACAGTGGGGAATGCGTCGCAACGTCTTGAGCGAGAGCACGCCTCAGTCGACCTTGAAGATGATTGGCCGGCTCCGACTACCGTTATTGGTCCGGGACCAGACTGTCACCGGCGTGCACGCGCAAGTTCTCGCAAGAGGCGAAACTTTCAACAAACGCCCGGGGAAGGGTCACTACAGGTGCATGCACAAAACCCGTAAAAAGCATAGTTCAGGCATTTTTCAACTCGGTTCTCTACCTACAGAGCTCTACTCGGTTATCCACTGTCAGCAAGACATAAAATGTCATTTATGTAAAAAAAAAAACTGTGCCCTGGAATTTGTCAGTGTCAGTATTACGGATGAGGCCTAGTCGTATCACTCTCATGTGGCAGCCGCGCTCGTTGATGGGGCCTACTCGTATGGAGTGGTCAACTAGTAAATTTGGCAGAAATTTTACAGTGATCGCCACCGCCCGTGTGTCCGCATCAAGCCCCCTGCTGATTCTCTGCTAGGGCCGCGCGATGTTGTCAATAGCCTTGCGAGAAGAAGGAGACACGATCGCTGGACCAAGGGCTTTATTAGCCTGACTTTTCGGATTCGTGATTGAACCTATTATCAGAGACAAAAGTATCCGTGTCTGCTTTTTTGTCTCTGATGATGAGTTCGGGCAGGAATCCGAAACGTCAGGCTAATCAAGCTCTTGTCCAAGCGATCGTGTCTCCTTCTTCAAGACTGCCTCCTGGGACTCGTCTCTTCTTTTCTATTAGCCTCGCGAGAGCTCGAATCCAACCAGCAGTGCTCATTCGCTGATTGGCTAAGTGTGAACAGAACTCAGACAAAGCAAAGGCACGCATACACGGAGGACCAAGAACCACAACGGCCGACACTGACAGAATCAACACGTCCGAAGAAACCGCTTGCAACAACTGTTTGCCGAGCCTCTTGTACACCTTTTTCACAAGAGTAAAGCTTGTCCAGCATAATCTCACTTCCCTGACTTACGATTTAGGAATCTTAGTGTTGTGGACCATTGGGAACTTTCGCGTCAGCCCCCACACCCATCGACAGGCTTTCATGCCACGTAAACCACAAAGTCCAATCTCTCCAATGGCTGGCTGAAAGACTCGGAACAGTGGATGCGTACGACTTTGTGTATGTTTCCTGCTTGTTAATCAGCCCATTATCCATTAACGTAAATTTGACGAGGTCGACCCTATCACTACGCGGTAACTGTTATAGCTTGGAAGATTGCCAACTGACAGAATATCTCGGTCCTACTGGAAATTGTGGTTCAGTCTACAATGGCTCGTTTTTAATGCGGCCTTAATAGCATTCATGCCAAAATGAGATTCGAGAGTTCTATTAATTTTCTCCCAATGATAACGCAACCTGGTACGTGTGGAGTAGCGACGAGGTCATATGTGGCACCCATTGACAGTCAGCCACTGCACCCACATCCACCTCCGGTCATCTTGACTTTGTACTCTGATGGCGTAAAAAGTGAAAGTGAGGTAGATGCTTCGCAGGTCTGCTCAGTTATGAAAAATTTCACTGGCAAGTTACATGCGCCCTCCCCCTCCCCCTGCGGTGTGGCTCGTCACCGGCGACGGCCGAACTGTGGAGTACCAGACTTGCGCCATCAGGCCAAACGAAATGTCCATATTTCATTTTACCGACAGGCCACATCAGTGAATGCCGCCCCAATCGATTTTGAAAATCCCCTGTCGTAAACGACAATTTATGAGTTTGTTGCTCAGCTGGTTGAGTGTTAAGTTAAACAGATATTTAAACCCCAGTCAAACTCCCAGTAATATCCTGTCTGTATCTGGCATATGCTTAACTGACAACGGCTGACAAGCCAGAGATGGTCATTCCTATTTCTATTTTTCTAGTCGGCAATACTTCAAACCCAATGCTTTTGTCCCGCACTGGTACCGGCCATTTTGGTTGGAAACTGGTGATGAGCAGCGGATGCCCTTTCCTCCAATGCTCGCAAACAATTCCGCAAGTCGACCACCTTGTAAATCCTGCGGCATTTCCCCCCCACAAAGCAAGCGTATTGGATGTTGTTTCTGACAAAAATAAACCCCATGGAGCCAACTACCGTCTAGATATATTGCCTATCGTCTCTTGCTCTACCAACAGATCTTACTTCAACAACATTGTCTCCTGCCTTCAAAAAAGAAGCACTAATCCACACTGTGATGATGCATGACGGTTTAATATTTCGATAGTTGCCAACGACACCGTGGCAGTCGGAGTTTACTACTGCAACTACCTAACGTTCACAAGTGACTGGAGTAGCAGACTTTTAAATGACTAGGATGGATGGTTGAGAATTTTTCTTCACACATTAGATGACCTACGCAATTCTTCTAAGAAATAGCATATCTGGCAGTTGCTTAAGACACGCCGTAGGGGGTATAGACTTTATCCCGTTCTAAATGCAAACGAACAGTCAACAAAGTATTGATCTGTTGTTCTTGTTGTTGCTTTTCGTCGTTTCTCATTTTTATGCATCCCTCTTCGTTATGCCCCCTTCCATTTAACCCTAAGTAAGCGACTTGCAATATGAGCTTTTTCTGAAATACCAGCTTTTGGGGACAAATACTTCTTGCTGAGGGGATTAATATTAATTTATCAGTCAAATTCGGCCCTTTTTAGGAAGATCCTCTCTTTACTGTTGTGAAACTTTCGGAGGTGCAGCCAGAGCGGATTTTCGGTTACAGGGACCTCCTTGTAAAACTCATGACGATTTATGTGGTAGGCTAGCCAATGCAGCTTTGTACTGTGTCCACCACGGGCGTCTTCTGCAACACTGGGCCTATCGGCGTGCTCGTACGCGCGTACCATTGCCAGTCGGGTTCTTATCCAATCACAGCTATCTACGCCGGACAATCGGCTTCAAGGACAATTTAGACGTCCTCGTACTATGCACTCTGGCGTCTGCCCCACTGATGCCTGCTCTAGTGGCGTCGGACATGTGACTTCTTCCGGTTGTCAACTTCCTCCAAGTCTATCATTCAATCATTTTATACATAATATAGTACCCTACCTACTGGCGTCCAATTTCTCTTCTTTCTGTTCGTGATAGATCCTGGGTTTCATAGTACCTAAGATCTGCTTACGACTTAAGCTGCGCAACTCGTTCAGCTCTGAAGTCGGATTTGGGCCGTAACACAGCTGGATTGGTTTTCGACACTACTCTCCGACTGCCAGGCGAGATGGTCATCCCAACCTCTCGTGGAGTCGACAAGACTCCCGGCAATTCTGTGCAGCGCCTGCGGCAATTTATGTGCTCGCTTTCCCCGGAGTCCGCCTCGATCTCTATCGACCAAGTCTCGTCGAAAAAGACTTGGCCAACTGCGCTCATGTGTTCGTTCGGTGTGACCATGTAGCAAGCCGCTGGAATCACCATACGAAGGACCGTTCCGTGTGCTCGCACGCAATGGCAAGGAGGACGTAGCCAGCATCGACCGGGTCAAGACTGCTGTCCCAGAAGAGTCGCTGGACCTGCCGAAAGGGCATAAATGTGCTAATCCCCTACCCCATGCTCCTTCTCCTCTCCTACCTCCTTCCCCTTCCCTACACACTGTCCTTCCGTCCCATCTGTTATGTATGCAAAACAGAAGGTTAGTTGCAAACAGAACGTGTACTGAGTACGAGAGACAGCAAAAGTGGGGAGCCTTGTAGAAACGGCTAGGTATATTGCAGGGGGGAGGGATTTCATAAGCTGAAGGGTGGCCAATCAGTACCGAGGTTGTCTGAACGGGGGCGCACGACCTTGGTTGCGCGCATGTGGCGTGATGTATAGACAGTCCAGGCAGCATACTCTCCATCCCTCCAACCTAACGTCAGCATCAGGAAGGGGGGGAAGGAAATGGTAAAGGTAGTAGTGGATAGTTAGGCAATGTTCTAATGGAATTCGTCCTGAAAGCGTTGGACAGATTTGCGAATTCGGGTCGATCTTCTCAGGGCGGTATTTTCGACCGCCGCGACGCTTTGTGTAGTCACTGGTTCCTCTGCCCCTAAGTTAGTGCTGGCTGGGGTAGAAGGAGGAGGGGTAACAGACACCTCGGTCGGTTTGCTCTGTGTAGGCAGTAGATGTTCAGTCCTCGGGATGCCAGGATCCCTATCAGGGGTTGCTAGCAGTTCGAACATCCCGAATTCCCCACCTACTGTGTCCGTTCGGCTGCGAACTTGGTCCAAATGTCGACGCACAATTCTCCGATCTTCTAACCCCTAATTCTTCTATTTGCCCCTCGTTTGTTCGAACTACCACTGGACACCAGTTCTTTTCGTGTTCTAGTCGCGTGTAGACACTTTCGTTGGGCGCGACGACCCGTGGTCGGGTGTTCACATCATATCGTGCTTTCGTCTTAGTCTGTTTTTCAATGACTGTATCATGTGTGATGGATTAAGCAGGTCAAGTCGTGTGCGCAACTGCCGTTGGAACAAAAATTCTGCAGGCGAAGCACCGGTTGAGTCGTTATGCGATAGCTGAACAGAAAGCGTGACAACTTGGTAGCCAAGCCGGCTTCCGTCTCGTTGGCTAGTCCGTGCTTTATTGTCTGAGCTGCACACTCTGCGAGGCCATTAGAAGCAGCGTGGTACGGGGCAGTAGTAAAATGCCTAATTCCATGTTCCTCCATGAAATCTTTAAATTCTGCACTAGTAAAGGCCGGGTCACTGTCTGAAACGACCATTTCAGGTATCCCAAAAATCGGTTCGCAACTGGTTGATTGTAGTCAGTGAAGAATAGGAATTTCCCGTCGGGATCGCATCAATCCATTTAGTGTGGGCGGCAACCACAGCCAAGACCATATGGCCTTGGAATGGTCCAAAATAACCGACGTGTACCCTATTTCACCTACGTCGCCAATGTTATATATTCAACACAGAAGGCTTGTTGTAAACAGGGCGTGTAGTAAGTACGAGAGACAGCACAAGTGGGGAGCCTTGTAGAAACGGCTGAATAAATGTCATGGAGGGGAATGTCATAGACTGAAGAGTGGCCAATCAGCAGCAAGGTTGTCTGAATGGGGGTACACGATTTTGGTCGCGCGCACGTGGCTTTATGTCTAGACAGTCCAGACAACATACTCTGCACCATCTCTATCCTGCTTCATCTAGTCCGCAATCACCAACGTCAACCTCACACAACTCCTCCACCACAGCGTGCACTCAACCGTCTCCTTCTCTCCCTCCTGTTTATATCAACTGCAGTGGACACCAAGTTCACCTCCTTGGTCGTTTAACTATTCAGTGCTCTCGTACTTATGCATATCTTTCGGCGTCTTTTTACGGCACCTCCAGTCTCGGAGAGGGGTACGACGCCGAGGTGTCAGACCAACCGACCTTTAACATTATCGTCCCTTTTCTTTGACTGTCATTGTTTTTTTATCGTAAGTAACACACCGCTGCAGGTCAGCCCTGGTTAAGCCGTCGGAGACCTTGTATACTAACTTTATACAGCCACTGGGTTTTGTTTTATTGTCGTTCTTACTCAGGGCTCATAAGATATAGGCTGGTGACTCACGAGAACAGCGTTATTAACGTCAGGTCTGTCTGTCTATACTGTAGAGCACCCCCAAGGGTGCCCCTGTGCCATCACAAGGATGAGTAATCTTCACAAGTTCCCCCCCCCCGCCGCCATGCTTCCAAGGTTACGTTAGTCCTCGCCGCTAATGAGGGTTTCCGTCTTGCTGGCCTCTACCTGCATGGCTAGGACCAATCAATACTTTGAACGAGACCCAGAACAGTGCCTGCCGCAGTGCGCCAGGACAGGAAATCTTCACCACCGACAGCAGCAGCAGCAGTATGCACCGCAAGTATACAAATGCGCAAACTTCCGTCGCCACCACTCAATCCAAGCTTAAACTGCCAACTCTCCAGCGGCAAAGTGACCGAAAGAGTGCGGCGCGAGGATCGCGTGCGTCCCGCGCCCAGAAACCCTCAAAAAGTGACTGGGACATCAAAACTCGATGGCACAAACTGGAGGAACAGGGTCCCGAGTTTACAGTAAAGAGTCGGGATAGCAAAGTGAAAGTGACTCTACCCACTGTGCTGATGCCCTTGGGCAAACATGCCTACTCAGAACGAAAGACAATTCGCGTGAGGAATTTCTTTCGTACTGTTTGGGACTCCACGAAAACCAAGGGCCCGGCGAATTCGTTTGCACCCGCGCCGATCACCTCCAGACTGAGACTTGCCTGTATGAATCTCGTCAGTAAGGCTGTTAAAGACAAGAGGATTCACTTCAATTCCGTGGAGCTGAGTATACTCTTCCACATGTTTTTTGAGCTTACAAACCGTCAGATTCGAAGCATGACTTTGGCCGAAATGCAGCAGTTTCTCCTCATCCAACTAAATATCACACACGCGGTCACGCTGGGCCGTCTTGCTCGAGCAGCTCAACTGTTGCAGAACAGCTCCCAACCATACAGCAGAAATGGGATTAAACCGATGAATTTTGTCCATCTGCTCTCTTCGCTCCTCCGAGGGAGCCTAATGGAGAAGGCCGAAATGGCCTTCCACGCAATGGATGTCGACGGTGATGGAGAGCTTCGAGTGGAGAGCGAACTTAAAATTTTACTGAAGGACTGCTTTGATGTGTCTATCGCTGCCGTCAATGCCGACATTGATCCTCTGGGACCAGAGCGGGAAACCAAAAAATTCCTTGCACAGAAGCTCGGTCTCCAACGTGGAACTGGTTTGCGTCTTAGTGGCTTCCAAGAGTTAGTAGCCGAGGCACCCTGGTTGATTGAGTCCTTGCTGCCTTGTATACCGCGTGATCTGGAGAGTGCTGCTTTTCAAAGCATCTTCTCTACGCCCAACAAAGGCCTCCGGCGAGAACGCCCAGAGGCACATAAAAGGACACCACCTGCCGCATGTTTATGCGCTTTTATTACAGAAAGTCTGCCCTAACAAGCTTACTTTTGTAACGCGTTTTCACCCACGACCATGAACAACACTTTCCATAAAATGGTCTACCGTGTAGCACAACCGCGTCATTCTTCATTCCCCCTCAGGTGCCCGCTGTTGACCTTAGCATGGAGTCTGAAGCGGAAATCCGATAGTTTATAGGCTGTCGTCACAGCTCGTCCGAAGTCAGTTTTAATTCTGCTACGTAGGAAACTTGGTACGCTTTCGAGGCTATATGACAAAAGTTGGCCTTTGGCAGGCGGATAGTGCGATTTGTCTGACGGTTTCGAGATGTGTATTTGAATATTACATGACAGATCGACTTCGAAGATGTCCACCGTGTGCTTCACAGCAGGGTGAGAGCAGAGACGACTTGCGCGTGTATTAGTGCATGGTGATAGTGGACTTGCGTGGCATCTACCTCTCTCTCTCCTCCCCATCCAGGCAAGGTGTCAAGGCATAGTCAAGAAGACCGGAGGTAGGAGAGGGTACACGTGGCTGGCGCAACCGGAGCTCGCCCCTAGATGTGCCGACACACCCGGCTCGGACCCCACTAGGTGGGAGCACCATAGGCACCATATTAAGAAGGAGCCATTGCAGCCAAACTCTTAGACCACTAGTCAGCCGCTCCACACACACACACAACACTAGACCGACTCTGGCGTAACGTGATAGCTTCAAGCGCGTCAGATTGTTTGTAGTGAGGGATGTGCGTTGAATCGTCAATCTCCCTCTCTATTCCATTTTCCAGACCCCGGCCACTGTCCAAGCCGGTCAGATGTGTTGTGCGATGAATGGGCGCAGTAGATGACACAGCTGGGAGGCTTGCCTGGTCGCCACAGAAGGGCAACGTGACAAAGCGGCGACGATCGAGGGAGCAGACTGTCACATCCACCGAATGTGGTCTCCATGGCACTTCCCCCCTCAGATGGTATCCAAGCGACCCCTTTTCGTGGAAACCTGACATGCCGTGTAGAGGTTAGGTCGTTTGTGACAAATGTTTAGGAGCCGTCTACCTTTGTCAACTACTGTGCCCAAGCCTGACTGGGTTAGATGATACTTGGTAGCCCTCCTGACACCGCAAACTCCCAGCTGCCTGTCAATCGGGACCGGTGGTAATAGGGGCCATACGGGTGGGACAATTGAGTGGACGGGTAAATGGCGATTGTAGTATATGTTAGGAATTGACGCTCCAGGTAAAGTGGAAGCCTAATTTAGACTATATGAAAAATACAAGGAAGGTATGGAAATGAGCAAGGAGACTTTGAACGATGTGCGGAATAAATGCATCCTAGCCTCAGATTGGAAAGAAAGGCAAGTGAAGGCGAACAACCAAGGGGAAGAAGGCAACTGGTCCGAAGGTCATTCCGCAGTGTGTGCGATAGTACTCTAACCGACAGAATAGACATGAGAACACCAGAGTCAAGCAGCGGCACGCAGGACGGCATAACGCAAGAGGGTAAGACTTTTATGCGAAAAATTGGTTTGGGCGAAAGAGGAAATCTGCAAATAATGAGGCAGTCGAAAGCTACCTCTGCTAATCAAAGTTGATAAAGGGTAAGCCTCATTGTCATCGTTACCGGTGTCAATCCGCCCAAGATAGTACCTCTACAATGAATGAGGCAGGCAAAAGCTTCCTCTTCTTATGAAAGTTGATGTAGGTAAAGCCTCATTGTCATTGTTACAGGTGCGAATCCGCCCAGGATAGTACCTCCACAATGAATCTGGTACAGGTAATACAACGCGCGCGTGAATTTAGAAGCATAATGAGAACGCAATCACAGCTACTGAGATCGAGCCAGTAGGTACCGTTGTGGAGTCTGTGGGCACGGCTACCAACTATCATCTTACCCCTGACTGCGGCTGTCATGACTCTGTCTTGACACCGAGCCCAGGTACGTGCGCAAGAAGAGATTGCGGTGGGCGCTGTACAGATCCGCAATCATTATTAGATAACTCGCGCAAAAGTAACCGTCCTGCGCGCATTATGTCGTTGGGCATATGGTAAACATAGTCGCATGTGATGATCGTGCTGTGGTGTTACTTCTTGTGGTCAAATGCGACTCCTATAAAAGCCTTACCTAGATTAAATCATTCCCTATGCGGCACAAAATCACATTTTCTGGAGTTTTTCTGCGTGGCGACCGAATTGGAGGCAACACATTTTCCCCCTCCCTGATTAATTTGGCTTGTGGGGAGTGCTCGATCATTTTCTGAATTATTTGACGAAATACTACCAGATGCTTACGGCGGCATCAGCAGTATAACGAGATGTGGGTAGACAGGCTCATTCAGTGTTCGACAAGTCAGCCAAATTGATTTACTTTCAGGCACATGTTCTAATTTGCTTCCATCTACTGTTTTACCGACGAGAGCCTATCGCAAGAATCGGATGGTCGGTGGTCCGATCCAAATTTTCTCGACTGTGCAACTTCTCCTTTTCAGACTGTCAACACCGAGACTAATTAGTACTTAGATAGGTCAGTGTAGCGCCGCCTCAAGAGAGCATAAGCCCTCCGCCTATGACGTTCACGTCACGCTAGGAATCATGTGATCACGGCTCCCCGACACCGGAACATGAGCACATTCAGCCCCGAAGATAGCCGGTCATGGGCGTCCAAAAACTCCACTATCACTCAGTCAAATGGCCAGGCTGACACTGACTAACTCTCGTGTGACTCTTTTTCACTTGCACCATTTTCTATCGGTGTCTTTCCGCCTTCCCCTCCATAGTGGGAATGGGCTGTGATTATTGTGGCGCTGTGAGCTCACTCACTGCTTTAAAGGACACGCAAGCACCAAAGAGCATAGGCAATTGCCATATTAGGTTAAATTATTTTAAAAAACGGCAAAATTTATTACTTAGCTTGTGCGCGCGCTAAATTATGTTATCCTGGACCCCCTGGTTCCCCCATTTTTACCAAGTCTGGCCACAACTGTTGATCATGATTTTGCCCTACGATCGAAATGAGGGAAAATTTAAAAGGGAAAAACTTTCGCATTGTGAAATACAAATGTCTATTAAAGACACATGTTCACTGTCTATTGTTTTCACTAATGCACCGTCAGTCTGAACACTTAAATGCGTAAAGTCGCAGGCAAAATAACAGCTTTAACCGGAACTTTGAATCTTTATGCGATTTTGCCGCAATTTGTTTGTCTGCTCCAAGAAAACTGCTCGCGACCCCCATAGATGCACTGCCCCAGTAGCATGTAAAAAGGAAAGTGGCTATTTGCGAACGGACTTTAAAGATGGAGGGAGTGTTGACCGATCACGCTACGGAACTTCCTCGTCCCGTCGTGCCTTGGGGGACCTCGCTCGGTTTCAAAGGTTCATGTATAGCCCATGCACAGAAAGGATACGACAACTGCGAATAACCGAATATTTGTAAGTTGTGCCTTTGCTTCTTTCATGAGTTGCTTTGAGAAAACTGCTCCAATGATTTCGTATTACTCCTCTAAGTCGGATGCCTAAACGGCCGGGTAATGAAAATTTGTTGCGCAATCTCCCGTTGATACTGAGTGAACAAACGCAACTGATGAAATATTAACCTAATCCAGGTGACCGAATGTTACATTATTTTTGTGGTTCGTGTGTGAAATCTTTAACTGGCAAATAAAATTTCAAAAGGCAATTTGGCGAGCATAAATTTGCTTTCGATAAATTCTCTTCAGGCCTGTACATTTATATGGCTATAATAAAATTTCTTCAAAATTTTGGTTTCCAAACTTCACCACTTGCATACTCAGGCTATTTGAAGGCAAACGAAAATGCCCCGCAACTTTTTAGGCAGTAAAATCTGTGATCATGACGACGGTGATGACTGAGGAAGGTAGATGCTCCCTTAAGATTTGGAAAAGTTATTTAACAATTATTAAATTGTAGATTTTATCGGCTCTGGAATTATTTAAGCACCATTCACATCCTGCCACGTGCGAAGCCAGTTACATCAATATTCATCATTTGTGAAAGAGAAAATTTGTCTAATGAATAAACCTCGGATATCAGCGCCGCACCTACTCAGTGTGGTTTTAAAAAATGCCGTGATGGACAAGACAGTTTGAAATTAAATCTGGACCTTGAAAGTTAAGGCATGTCACAAACAGTTCCATCGAATTCTTCTCCCCTTCATAAACCTGTGATATAAAACAGGCGTGATGCTGAGAATTCCCCTGCTCAGATTAATCACCACTACAAGACCGTACCGGCTTTCTTGTTTGCAGACGTTGGCGATCGCATGCATTCTTTACTGTTTGATGCCGTCTACTGGAACTAGCCTCCTACAGGTTTTGTCAGCGTTGGCTAGTTGGTCGACTTGTGACACGGCCATCCTGCGCTCATGTCCCACATCAACCATTATCAGTTGATAGCATTCTCTACCGACCCGTTGTGCTCTCCGACTCGACGAAGCCCGTCCAACTTAATTCATCTTCCAGACTTGATTTTTTGGCGAAATATCATGCTACACAGCAGCCAACGTCTTCTACTGTGCACAGACTCTTAAAGGTGCTTAACCTACATAGCCAAGCACCATGTAGATGATGTTTCTGTGGTCCGCACGGCAATCAGAACATACAGTACGTGACCTATCTCATGAAACCTGGTGGTAGAACCTGATGCGAGAATTTAGGACGTCTTAAATGTTGCGCATTTTGCTTGGCCAACTTTAGGAAACGTCCTCATTTCGTACGCAAATTGTGTCCACATAAATTTTTCGAGCAAAATGTTCATAAACTTGGGCAAAAAATGGACGTCACGGTATACCTGGGCAATTTCCTATGCTTATACCCGTTCTGGACTTCGGTTGGCGATCTGAGCGGGTTTTTCTTTGGAAGGAGAGTAATTTACTCTAGAGTGTTTTAGTAAACAGATGTTGCCGGACTTGAAAGTTCATTTTTTGCTTGATGGTAACTGTGGTAATCAACTTCCCAACACAAGGGTTATTCTAAAATAGCCAGATGTCTTGTCGATTGATAGAAGTCAGGTTAGCAGATCTGTGCGA